TTTACTAAACGCGTGCGTATGGAAAATGATAAACAATCCTGTCTGCTAGCTATCTCATGCTTTATGCTCCCGTTGGTGGCGCCATTTTGGCTACACTCGTAATGCCGAAAAAACTCGAAGGTGACGGGAGAGGGGGGCGTGGCCCGATTTGGAATATCATTGACTGTTTACCCAATTTATATACACTTTTCACAATGTTGTTTATAAATAAATTTTACACACAAAAAAGTCAATTGTCCCAATTCAGTTACACTTTAATAGCTTCTATATCTGTTTAATTCTTTTTAACAATTCTTTTCATTAATGAATAGCGCCCTCACCCAACAATAATAAGAATGAGTAGTTGGTCAAAAGTTTGATTAGTCGTGTGCATCTATTGGCTAAGCTTGTTGTACATACATTCAAATGAGTATATGAACCAATAATGCTGTAGGGTGTATTGGGAGGGTGGGGGAGTTCATGTTTGTAATGACTGGTTGTAATGTGCTATCTTGTTTTCATGATGCAGCCTGATATTTGTTGTATTCTTGGTTGTTCAATTATGGATATTGATATGGCGGTGTCTTCTAAAATCATGGCATCAAAATGATTTCTGTTTATTTATTACGGTTGTAGATCCTGAGAACTAGCCATTGAATATGATGTCGGGAATACAATATGAATTGGGAGCAAACTGTGACACCAAATCTAGTCGTTGTATTGCTATGCTTCTAACATATTTTTTTTAAATGTCAAATATCAGGCTAAAGAAACAACGAGATAGCATATTACAACAAGTCTTTACAAACATGAATTTCTCCATCTTTCCTCAATACACCCTACAGCATTAATAGCTCCGATACTTATATGTACACTTAGCCAAGCCAATATATGCATGCGACTTTCGACCACTATTTCAATTTATGGTTGAGTGTGGGCGGCATATACCGATTATATATATATATATATATATATATATATATATATATATATATATATATATATATATATACTAGGGGCGTGTAAGATAGCAGTAACTGTACAATATAGCAGTCCATCTGTAGTGTCGTATTTATTAACCATTTTCCGTACACTGCGAGAATCACGCGTTATGCGTGAAATTGAACGTAAAAACAGGACAAACAAAGGTCATAGCGTCGTAGTGGCGTCAAACATCGCGTGGGATTCGACAAACGCGAAAGTATTTTGGGGACATTTCCATGCTTAATAATGTGCTGTCCACATTTGATGATAGGCAATTTCGATTAAGTGAGGGTATTCGGAAGCAATGTGCCTCTGTCGAAGATCGGCCGGTCGGTGTGAGCTACGAAATAAGGAAATTCGAGTTCAAAATCAAATCGTTCGATTTTTGCGGCAGACGTTCGACGCGCGTCTTTCATGCATCTCGCGAGATCTCGCAATTGTACGGAAAATCACCTATTGTCGAACGTCGCATAAAAAAATAACATTTGTGCAACGTTAATTTAACCCGCAACAGTATGTGAGCTCATAAGTTTTAAGTATTGTTCTCTGTGAATAAATTTGTTACTTTAATGTTGTTATTGCACGAATTGTTTAAAACAATCAATGCTAAAAAGGTAGAGAATTTCTATCCCCGTTTCAGTTGTATCCTGTGGTTTGAAGAGAACAGATCGGGGATCGATAGACATACTTGTTAACATATTGAATCAAATAGCAAAAAACCTGATTAACGATCAAGAATAGTCTCATACACAACACTGTCCGCATTGTCATATCAAATACAACAGCAGAGCGTAACAGAACTTAACACTTGTTCACATTCAACTGCTACGAAGAATTTAAAAAATGACCCACAATGAAGTCACGATTATTATACCTTATTCATTACCACTCGTATTAAACAGTTCTGAAACGAATATACTAACGGACATCATTACTTTAAACAATTTCTTCAAAAAATTTTTTTTTTATATTTTGCTCTGCGTTTATGTTATTGCATAATAATAAAATAAGTCAATATTTACTACTGACAAATACTACAAGAATCACGAGAATTTTTCAATATTCAGCGATGTTTTAAACATTTACAGAGATGTAATCACGAAAAGTTCTAGAAAACGTAATCTGGATAGAAGTTTGAGTCCTGTTGTACAGATGAATATTATCAAAACATTTCAGCCTAGTGTGCTCTGTCAAAATGGTTTACACATTTGCCTCGAAACACATGACATATCAGGGTCATCATTTTTTTAATTTTGATTTGATTTTTCAATAGCTTCATGTTAATAGTACACACGTTTTCAAATTTGATAGCATAACGATCTGAACAATTTCATTGATATAGCAAGAGTGACATGTATAATGAATTTTAATAGCACTAGGCTAATACACATGGGTAATCAAATTATAATTTTTACTCTAACTTGTCTTCAAGATGTGTTATGCTCATTACTTCATTTGTTTATTTCGAATCAAATCAGTAAAGCTCATGTCATCAAAGAAAAAAAACGAGCAACGATTAGATGGATTGCTTTTGAGTATATATTTCTTTTCTCGTGAGTCTTCAGTATCCATCGTAGACGGGTCTACACATAGCTTCCTTAATTCTTCAAGTTTGTCCCGAAACTCCTGTAAGTCTTTTTCAAAAGTAGGTCCATATGCAATTATCTTCTCCCATAGTGTTCTGTTGAAATGCTGATAAAATAGCAAATCTCCCCTATTCCAATTTAAGATTTTGTCACGTGTTTGTTGCGTAATTATATGATGTGATGCACCCAAACCTTTTGAAATATAAAGAATATCGTCCATACTCCAACACAGTTGTTTCTTCATTATCAGTAAAGACTCATCAAAGTATTCTGTGATGAGAACGAGGTCCATCTCCTTGTCCAGAATTTCAATGTATTTGTGGACTAGATCATCCATTTCATTATTCCCATATTGTGTTCTAAATCCAAAATCATAAAGTTGACCGTTGTGACTTTGCCACCAAAGTTTTAATTGTCTTCTCTGAACGAGCTCTGGAATTTCCATGAAAGCAGTAATTAGGTTCGTGTTTCTTCCACGATACCGTCCAATAGCCTTTCCCCATGCGAAGTAGCTGAAAGCGGACACAAGTTGTTGCACGGGATGACGTAATATAGTTATGTACGTTGCATTGGGAATAACAGCCTCCATTTCATGTCGATCATAACCCACGTGATTAGTTAATATGTCGTAATGTTTCCCGCCATTTAGTGGTGGGTATTTAGTACTATTCAACATGCTCCGCTTAAAACCATATGCATTCGATATAATTTGATACCTAGATGGAACAACAAATGACAAATTTCGTGTGTAACCAAATCGTTGTGTGATGGAAGCCAATGTACTACTTGCAGTTTTGTGAGTTTTTATAAACACCACCCTCGTGACTTCGTTACAGTTTGTATCAAAATTACTGAAATGAGGAAAAAACAATATACAGTTAGTACATATTTGCTGACTGCACGTGAGTGCGTATATTGAGAATAAAATGAATAAACAACACATTTCTAGAGAAGATTGCAACAAGTGAATGTCATAATAGGTGGTATATGAAGCGTTTCATTATGGAAAATATTCGAAGCAGACATAGAGACAAGTTGCATGATTTTCTCGCTCTCGACGAGATCTCTTTTGCGAATTTGCAACTAAGGTCAATCACTCATTACGTGTGCGTGAGTTTTGTCTAATCTGAAACAGTACAAGTTATTGTAATGACTGTGGTACAGGTGTGATTAAAAAAATCACATTGATTTAAAGGATGCATTATATCAACATTCGTGCTTGTTTGTGTTAAGTATGAACATGGCTATCATATTTTTAACACTTGAATTATCTGTCAGAGCTATGTCTTGTGACTGGTTATTTAAAAAAATAATACATTTCATATGTTTTTTTTTTATTTTCAATACACCATCGCTATAAAATGCGTACGCTAGTAAAGAGGCACTTTTGTGAGGTAAAAATGACCTATATGGTGAATGCAAGATCATTCAAATTAACCTGATTAATTAATCTAGAAAATAGTAAAATCTCTGAAACATAATATTACTAATGTTTGGCTACAAAACAATGCGAGTTTGATGGTTTGAACATATCTTGCGTCACCCATTTACATCACAAAAACGGGCGTAAATTTTATGAATATTATCTAAATTGTTTGGGAATATTGAAAACAAGTTTGCGTGAAATGCATTAATGGGGGTATGACGTAACACATAATTATATCACTTTTGGTCACGAGATCTACTGTTCTACTGGTTTCGTAGGTCTATTGTATTTATTCTGCAAACCGGGAAGACTTGATATGAATGGTTTAAATCGCTACAGGACCATTGTATTTAATATATATATATATTTTATATATTATATATATATATATATTTTTCTCGGCTACGATTTTCGTTTATTGTAGAATGTGCCTGGGGCATCGACATCATATATCGGATTGAATTTTTTATCCCTCAAAATTATTATTTTGAGTACAATAGATAGAGTGTCTGCAAAATCGAAAACTATTAAATGAATGGATCATATATGTAAACAATACGTTGTTTGATGCTATGTGACGTCACTAACGTTGTTAGCTCGTTCGTGGTTGGTGCATCGGGTCAAGTTGATCCAAATTTGTACAGAGCAACTGCACATTTCAGGCTTCGAGTTTCTGAAGGACTTACTTTAAAATAGTTTCAGTTGATGAAACTTCAGTCGTGTTTCTTAGACGTTGATCTGTTGATTTGTTGTAAGTTTTTGCTTCGTTCCTAAGTAAAGACAATTAACGAAGATATTTATGTTACATTAACCATTAAACACATGCTGAGGGGATATGATAAGAAAACTATTGCATATTATTTTGCTTCTTCAAACAAGTTTTTTTGTCTTCGTCAAATGTGTTTGGTTATTTTCTTTACGTAGTTTTCCTTGTAGCTTGTTTTACTTTTTTGTGCTTGAATTTAAATTTCTTCAAAATTGCTAATTATCAGCTTAATTGGCAATGGAACCCAATTTTAATTCAGAGTAGAGGATTAATTTGACTTGTAAACTTGGCAAAACGGTAGCTCTTGCTCAAAATGAAACATAGTTGGCCTCTAGGCCTGGTAGATTTCATTAAAACGCCAATACACTCTTCAGAAATATAAGTTTGGTCGGAGCGAATCGACGCAAACCAACGAACGTTAACATATATTTACAGGAATAATCTATGAACCATGAAATATACTGCTTACTAGAAGTTTTACTATTCTCCATTTCATTTGCTTTGTGAGTCAAAAATGAAACATCAACCAATAGCTTGGCCAAATACAGCCGCTCTGAATAGTAAAATGAAGCAAATACAAAGTGTTTGAACATGATCACATTGCGGAGGCACAGTGGCTATAACGATTAACTGGCATTAGAAAAGGATACAGTGTTGTGCATATGAGAGACAATGCAGCATCTTATGATCTGCTTAGGCTGAGGGATGTGGTGTACTGTTTAGAGATTGACTCATATAACGATGCTATTTGGTGTCACCACGTGTGTTCTTACATTCTTGGTTCTACGACTGGCTTACTACTTTTCAATGCCGCTGATGAAGGACCATTTTTTTTTCAAAAAATTACAAGTTATTTTGAATTATTGCTTAGGACAGCAATGTCAAAAATTAATTTGTCAAACTACTTCCATAGATTAAAACTCACTTATTGGTTATTACAATATAATCTAGGAAAACAAACTTGAAAAACAACACCATAGAACCGAACTAACTATGAAAGCAATCATATAGCTGTAAACTCACTTTTAAATCTATTGACATGAAACCAAACTAACTTTCAGTAAAACTTTCACAGAAACTAACTTTCAAACTACCTCCAAGTAACAAAACTTAATTTTAAAACTACTGCCATGAAATTAAATCATAAGTAATTTTCAATGCTACTTTCACAGAACCAAGCTATCTAATAATAAGGAAAATACTTCCACATATGAAAACTGCTTTTGAAAAAAAAAGCAATAAATAATATCAAATTTTTAAAATTTCCAGAAAACCAAACTAACTTTTAAACAATTTGTTTAGAACAAAACTAACTTTAAACGACTGGCAAGGAACCCAACCATTTCTAAAACAAAGTAAATTTCAAATTTACTATACAGTAAAAGAATTGGTCACAAAGACTGCTAACTTGTTTTGATTTACAGAGAAATTCATACGACAATTTTTTTGTATTAGCCCACAGCATATTAATCCTGATTGTGAATGCTTGCAGACAGAAATTCGAAAAAAAAACTAAATGAGCTTTGATGCTTTTGCTTAAAACCTACAGCAATAACTACCATATCCTATCTATGAACAATATAAATCTCTTTACTTACTCTGTGTGGGTCACTATTTTATCGCTATGGACGTACAGAAACAGGATACTAAAGCTGATAACTGACAGTGTAAGCAACGCAGCGAACACACAAAACATTAAACGGTTTTTCATGGTTAATGGTGTACTTCTTTCCAACAGGCTGTGTCATCAAATGTCGGCACCTTAATGAATACAAACAAACATAAGATTCAAAACATGTGAATACTGAATAAAATACTGATAAATCGGTAACTAATTTTGTTTGCAACTATCAGTTTTCATTCCCAATGGATCATATGCTAGCAAAAAATAAAATGCAAAGTTGGCCTTTTTCACAAAAGTTCTATCCGTTTCGCGAAACTTCGACATGCCTGTTTAATGAGCTACTGGATCATAACAAACTTAATATTTATTCTATAACAATTTGCGAAATGATTGTGTATGTATGCGTGTCGGAAAAAGACCTCAAAACAATGCATAATCAAGTACATTTGCGATCAAACAAAAACATTAATTCCAGAGTATTGTATACATTTCAATCTAGCTTAATATTATTAGTCATTTAATCGAGATGCATATCGGAGAATTATATGTACAATGTGAAATTAATCTTCCGCACAGTATTGACGCTTATAACACTAATATTAAAACAAATATTACAATAAAGATAATAAATTCGATTGTTACTCCAGAACACCGCCACTTATGTGATGTACGTAAATTGGATAAATACTACATACGGATTTTGGTTTTAAACCAATCAGGTATCTGGCGTTGAGTGGTTCTTCAATACAAAGATTTCGCATAATATGTAAATTTAGTAATCAGTTTGTACGGTTCCAATTATAAACTAATAATCACATATGTAGATTACATACACTTTGAGTGCCTAATTTCATTGAAATCTGATCAGTGGTCTTTAAGGGACCCAAGGTGAAGCTAAGCATCTGGCAATTTAAGTAAAATAGGAAATGATTATACACAAATAAAATCCTAAAGAAATTCTGCAATGTGGAGTATCCAATCCCGCCTTATTTGACATATCTGAAACTGTCAGACATAAAAACACCCACACATGCATACGTGACAGAATACATTCATACATATGTTGTATACATCAATGTGCAAGTATCTCGTTATTATTTAAATATGTTAAAAAACGATATATATCGATGCTCAGAAAACTTGAGAAGCGTTACAGTTAAAAAGTTTGATCAGTTCATATAAAGTTTAAAAAGCATACGTAAGTGCGATATGAAATAATACTGTTCTTTAATGTTTTCCATATGTTTGAATTTTACAGGTAGTCGTTACGTTATTGCATCAGCGAACAGAAGACGGTCCCCTACTACGTCGGCGATGGCGCTGTTTTCGCAGAACTTTATCTTGAACGTTTCAATGGAATTATGCAGCAGGTGAAACTTGAATTCGGGCACTATTCTTGTTCTTACTCTTGTTTTGAAGCACTTTAGTACATCGGTTGGCTCTATTTCTTTTAACTTGTTATACCGTGTGATGTTGGTGGCTACTTTAGCGGTATTTAGCAGGTAGCATAGGAGTTGATGTATAGATGAAGTACGTTTTTCTCTGGGTGGGCCAAGGCAGTACCAGTGAATAGGAATACGATCTATTTCAAGCAATACTGACATTACAGCATTGAGTGCGTTAAACAAAGGTAACAGTCTAGGGCACTCTAGAAAAATGTGCAACAAATCATCTTTATCATTGCAGTATGGACATTTATCTGAATTTCGAATGTAGGATTTTCGTAGAAAGCCACCCTGTTGGATAGGCTCCGTATAATAATCGCCACTGTAT